GCTGCTAGCTACAGTGGGACCGTCAAGTCTACGGGTGACAAAGTCATAAAAAGATACTGGCCCCGTTACGTGCCATATCAAGTCTAAGTACGGTTATGACACTCGCAACCTAGATAACAGAATTTACTTTGTAATAATGAAACAAGTGAACTAACCTCAAAGTAATAACCGATTTGATTACTAGAGGGTATTAATAATACCCTTAGGATTTAGTTCACCACTTATATATTAGTTTTATTTATGTAATAAGGCTAATACACCTCACAGGGAACAAACAGGGTTTTTCAAGGAAACTACATCTAACGATACAAGTATGGTAGATACTTGTACACCTCAGACAAGAACAGATAACCAACTATCAACTTTTAAGGAAAATATAGGATTTTCCTGGGATAACTCAACCTTACATAAACAGGCTGTTTAACATATAACTAACGGATAATCAAACATCTTTCATAAGAAAATATATGATTTTCTTGGGAAACACTTTTCAAAGGATCAAAGAAACATTTCTTTCACCAGAACTAAACACTTATGAACTCACCAGCTTTATGCTGATATTTTAAAACTACTTGTATTCTCAGGGCAACAATAGACAGGTACTCTTGCCAACTTTTGGAGAAGACGGAGCATTTTGGAGTCACGTCTTTTACTTTTGTTATATACTGATGCGAACAAACTATATGTTCAAACAATGTAAATATTCATATTATAATGTAATGGTTGTGTTTACTACGCTTAGTATGATACAACTGTTGTGATACTACGCATGACGTCACCCGCCCCCGGACGTTTCCGCCGTCCGCTCCGACGGTTCGGGGGTGTGAGATGGTGTCCCTCAAAGGCTCTGGATCTGAAGTCAATACCCCAAAACATGCTTGCATCCATGAATGGTTCCAAAAATGGCACCTTCAAGCCCTAAACTACCTCAAATGAGCTGGAAATAGAACACAACCTCTGGATTTACTTGCTTCCTCTTGAACTCCCCAAGCTTTTTCTTCCTTCTCAAGCTTTAAAACTACCAAAGACACACAAAAATGGCTTAAGAACACTCAAAATGGGTTAGCGTTTCAAATTAGGGTTTTCTGGACTAAGGGTGGCAATGAGGGATGCTACAATGAGGGTGTTAAGGTGTTTAAATAGGGTGCAAACCCTGAAAATAAGGGTTTCACTCTGGCAGACCTACTCGCCGAGTCGAGGCTCTTCGACTCGTCGAGTAGACTTCAAGTACCGCGTCCAACATATCCAATTCTTACTCGACGAGTTTCGGGCCTCCAACTTGCCGAGTCCCTTAGCAAATATGAATACTTTTTATTTAAATACATACCAGGAACCGGGCATTACACATTTAAAATATAATATAAGTTTCGTAATAAGGAAAAATAGTAAAAATCAGTCGAATCGTCCGTATGTCGTAAAAATAATTGTGCCAAAACATATATATATATATTATAATATAGATATATATATATATAATATATATATCTATATATATATATATATATATATATATATTAGCTACCCCATTTTAAAATGAGCCACTCATGATTGGTGCCAGTTTTGTAGGGTGTTTAGGTCTAAAATGGGGACGAGAAACTATGTACACAGATCATCTTTTATTGCTTTTCTTTAATTAATTTTGTTTTAGCATATATATATATATATATATATATATATATATATATATATATATATATATAATCTCCTAAAATATTTCAACCTCATGTATTTGAAAACTCTATTACCATTTAAAACGTCTTTTAATAATGATTAAAATCATAAGTTATAAATATAATGATAAATGTTGATATTATGACATGAATTATAACAGTTTATTACAACTTCTCCATTTATAATGCAATTAATACATATCAAAATGTTTTTATAACTTAAATATTATTTTAATACTAAAACACTTTAACTTTTAACTAAATAACTATTAAAATTGAAGAATAAGATATATTAATTAGTTGATTATTAAATTTATAGTTTTTAGGCTCTTCCAAAAAATAAATTGAAGAATTTTTATAACTTATGATATAGTAATTAGTTGATATATATATATATATATATATATATATATATATATATATATATATATATATAATTGTAGGACTTTAAGAATAAGATCGAGAAAAAAAGAGATAAGAAGACACAAAGTTCTACTTCATTAGACAAAACATGATCATTTTTATATATCAATATGGATTCCTAAGGAAAGAGGACGAAAATTATGAACGTTGATATATTCGGGTTCTTTTTCAATAAAAAACATGTCATAAAAAAATTAAAAAAAATGAAGTGGGTATTTTGATATAATTTGATGCATGCATGTTTGATGTACAAATCTACAAGCATCCCTTTTACTTTTATCATATTTTATTTTTACCCCCTTAATTAAAATTTAGTTTTAAATATTTTCTATTTATTCAACTATTTTTTTATTTGTATATTTTTTCATTGACAAAATGTTTATATATTAATCTAATGATAACCTTAATTAAAATATTTCATATTAAAGTATAATATGTTCAAAAAACAAAAAAATAAATGATAAGGTTTTATGCAACATTTTAGTTTGATGAGCATTAATAAGTTAAATTCGTAAAAAAATACTTTAAAAAGTTTAACCATTTGAATGGTCGCTTATTTAGAGGTCAACATTTTTTGATTAATAAGGTGTCAAGAGTGTTAAATCTTATCATATGTTTACTATTGAAGATGCTTTTAGGCTATAGGTAGTGGATGGTATTAAAGGATGTGCTAAGGGAGATGTAAAGGATGCTAAACCACTCTCTACCTTGTGTTAAGGAGGTTGCTAAGAATAAGTTGCTATGGATGTAGAACCACTCTCTACCTTGTGCTAAGGAGTTCGTTAAGAATAAGTTGATATGTATGTCCCCAGAGAATAGAGGAGGGGGAAAGTATAAATGAGTGTTGTGATTAGTTGGGTTGTATTTCTTTATATTCTTTAATTTCTTTTCTTCAAAATTAAACCTATTAAATTGTTACACTTTCATTCTCTATTTTTTTTTTGTGCTAGACATGCTAAGTTTATGTAACATAAAAAAAACTAAAACATCCTATGTGGCATCCTGCTAAAAGTATGATCACATTCATCCTTAACACTTTGTAAAAAAACTTAATAGAATATGACAATCGAAAGATTTGTGTACGTTTACTTTTTTGAAGCACGTGTCTTACGTACCTAAAATAGGAACATATGGTCATCCAAAGAATTTTCAATACAAAAAGTGTCATGCCGATTAAGCTTTTTCATGAAGACGGATATTTGGTTTGGCATCGACTTTGGTTGGTTTATGTACGAATTTTGTAACTAACAAAGCAATTTTATAATTATTTGTTGGTATATGTTCTAACAAGTTAATATTTTTCACACCCCTCTCTAATTTTGCTTTTTATATATACACCATGGACTACATAGATTTTTATAATTTATTTCTTTTAGCAAAACTTACTATGCACTACTCGATGTTGAAGAATGTTCAAAAATACGTAATTAAATTGTGATTCAAGCATATCAAACTCTAATTGCCATCTGAAAATTATCTAAGTAAGTTACAAATTTCCAAAGCTAAAAGATAATACGGGTGCCATCTGAAAATTATGCAAGTAATATACAAACTTCCAAACTTAAAAATACAATAATGGTGAGTGTGTTAGCTATTCTAAAGAAATTAAAATATACCACCTTCAACATGTTATCCCACACTCGAATTCTAGGTATGGGTGTTCAAAAAAATTTAAAAATAAAGAATCCGATCCAAAATATTTCGAAATTTATGATATCCAAATTTTGGATATCCAGAATTCTAATTCATGGTTTTTCGAAAATAGATTAGGGAAATGGTTTTACAAAAACTTCATATATTTGGATAATCTGAGATATGGATTTTATAACTTTTGAAAATTACATTTTACTAACATTTTTAGTATTTGAATTTTCAAAAGTAGAGAATCCTAATATTGCCATTCATGTCAGCAATAAATTATAAAAGCATCTACAATATATTGTTTAATGTAAGAGTTAACAAGGTGAAATGTCTGGTTCACATTCAATAGATTAAAATCAGTTACAATAGTTACAATAGGATGTAATATTGGCGTTTAGTTGATAATGTTTATTAAAGTAGTAAATTTGATAAAGAGAATGTTTTTTAAGTTTTACATAATTATTTCATCGAAAATTTGTAAAGTTAAACGCATTTTACGAGAAAATGATAGAAATGTATGAAAATAGAATAATAACTAGAAAGGTTACCTCCGCTACACGGGGGCCAGAAGCTTCCAATGTTGTTTCCGAATTGATAAATATGACAGACATAGAAAGTGCAAGGATGAAAAGTCCGGACTTTGCCCCGGACAAAAAATGTAAAAAATTTTGACTGCAAGGACCAGAAGTGTGAAAATGACTAAAGAATTAAAGGGGTAGTAATTAGCAACTTTTTAAAAAGGGATCAAAGTTGTCAAACCGTTAAAGTTTTGTGGCCAAATTTAAATATTAAAAGGTTCCAAAAAGTTGTAAAAATATTGATTGCACGGACCAAAACTGTCAAAATGGGTAAAGAATAATGAGCAAAGTTGCCAAAAAACATCCAAATTTAGTATTCCTAACTCCAACAATAATACAGGGACCAATTCTGCCAAAAAAATGGGAAGTTGAATGAAACACAAACAAAAGGACATGAATAAATTAATTAAAGGAAGTACAGGGACCGGATATGTAAATCAAGGGACCAACTTGGACAAAGTATGCCCACTTCACTATTCCTTTCTTCCACAACTTTAATATATATATATATATATATATATATATATTATATATATATATATATATATATATATATAATTGAATTTAATGTTCTATTTGTATTACATTTTTTCATCATATATTCATATTTTGTTAAATAATATGAAGCAATCATGGCTAAAGTAATGTTTTATTTGTATTAGAGTTTTTCACGATATCATTACTTACAGATAATTCTGTTTTGGAAGTGTTTAGTTAGGCTATATATATAACAACCATCGTTTGTCGCCTATATACTTACAATCATTTAGCATTATCAAGCATTAACCTGACAACCTGATGGCTTCCACACACAAAAAGTCTCCTGCCATGATGCTTTTCTTGTTGACCTTTCTTTGCATCACTATGGTCCCGATTTTAGGTATGAAAGCTTTCTTTCATTTTTAGTTTATCTTTACAACTCTCATTTATGTTACATGGACAAAATGTATTGATTCAATGTATTTATGTACAGCTCTTGAGCCAATATATAAAATTTCTTCAAAATTGTGCTTTGGAGATTGTAACCAGGATTGTACAGTACTTTGTAGAAAACTTAGCTATCCAAATGGTGCTTGTCAAAACAAATTATGTTGCTGTCATAATTAGTTAATACATGTTTCCATACATGTTCCTGTATGTCAAGTACCTGGGTGATTATTCCGAAGACATGTGGGTTAATAATTGTTATTTGTAATAAACCATTTCTTCGGATCTTGCTAATAAAGTTAAATAAACGACTACTCTATCCCATGATTTCTCTTTGCCTTTTTCTTTTTTACATAAATTTCCGTCTTGAGTGAATAGTATTTTGAAACATTGTGTTTGCTTTGTATTATATATGATACATTGTATATTTTTTGTGACCTGATTAAACGCTAGAACTACGGGAGAGAGAGATAGATAGAGAGAGATTGTGTATTAAATCCGTTGAAAGAATAAAATTAGAAAAATAATACCTTTCTACCAATTACCACAAATACAAACACTGCTAGTTTTTGTTTCAAAACGTAAGCAAGACAAATTAGCTAGATTTGATGTTCACGATGACAGAAAGCTAATATCATATACCGTAATTATATTTGTTAATTAAGAAACATGCAACTGGCTATATATAACAATCATCCTTTGTGGCATCTTTACTTACAACAAAACCAAGCATTACCAGGTATCAACCTGATGGCTTCCACCTTAAAAAAAATCTCTTCCCACGATACTTCTAGTGTTGGCCTTTCTTTGCATAACTATGGTCCCGATTAATTTAGGTATTATAACTTTCTTTCAATTTTAATTTATCTATACAACTCTCAAGCATGTATTGATTAAATGTAGTTGTATATATACAGCTGTTGTGATAGATAAGTGCATTAAAGATTGTATGGCAGTCAAAGTGAATTGCGGAACAGAATGTAAAGCAGCTGGCTATCAAACAGGTGCTTGCGGGATGTTACCAGATATAATGAAATGCTGCTGTTTTCATTAGATAATACATGTTCATAAAGGTTAAATGCATGGGTTATAATTCCCATGCCTATCAGTTAATGGTTATTTCTTGTAAACCGTTTATTCTGCTCTTGCTAATAAAGTTAAAAAAAACGACTCCATCTCACGATGGCTATTCGGCTTCTAATTTTTCTATCTACACTGAGTGAATTTGTTGATGTGGTTAAATTGTTTAATTAGTACAGGTAAAATGCGGTTAAATTCTTTGGGGAATGGTCTAAGGAAAATGCGAGAAACCTTCTGAGGATTCTCACGTGTTTCCACCTTGCTTCCGGTCTCAAGGTTAACTTGGAAAAAAGTAAAGTCATGGGGGTTGGTGTGTCGAGGTCAAAGGTCTCCTTAATGTCTACTTGGATGAAATGTCGGGAAGGCGATATTCCCTTCATTTATCTCGGAACGCCGGTCGGGGGCTCTACCACTAGATTTTCAATAACTTGGTTGCCCCTCATTGATAAGTTTCAAAAAAAATTTGTCGTCGTGGAATGCTACATCTTTTTCTATGAGAGGTCTTCTAACCCTTGTTAGGTTGGTGCTTGGAAGTCTTGGGACGTATCTATGTTCGTTGTACAAGGTCCGTGTTAAAGTCATCAACATACTTGAAAGTATTCGTAACGACTTCTTTTGGGGTAGTTGTACGGGCCATAAGTGCATTACGTGGGTGGCTTGGTATAAGATGTTAAATTCAAAAGATTTGGGAGGGTTGGATATTGGGAGTTTAAAGACTTCTAGCCTTCCCTCCTATCTAAATGGTTATCTCGTTTCAGAGATGAATAGATGGCTTATGGAAGAGAGTGTTAGGTGTTTTTATGGGGGCAACGGGGGTCTTGGGTCGGTTCGTTCAATGGCTAATAGGAGGTCGGTGTGGAGAAGAATCTACCATGTCTTCCTCGACATCACTCCTTTTAGCATAGACCTAACTCTTTATTTTACACTATCACCCACTCGGTTGGGAACACCGCTTCGGTTCAGCGGCATTGGGGATTGGAACCTGGAGGAAACTTCACGGTGTCCTCTCTTAGGAAAGAAATTGACTCCAAGATGTTGGATTCCACTAATTCACCAACATTATTGTCACACCCCGTTAAAGCGGACACACGGAGGGTGAGAGGCTAAGGTCTAATAACACAAGGTAAATATGATTACCAACCATAATTATTGAGCATTTTATGTTTACATCATATTTGAAACAATATTACATTTTAGTTCCATCCTACATAGTCTAGTACATAACAAGAGCAATAAACATAAATCATTGTGGCGTCGTAAAATGGCTCACTGACTGTTTCCTAAAACGCAAGCAAAAACGAGGGTCAGCTATAAAATAGTTGGTGAGTTCACAGGTTTATAAAGGTACATCATTTCAGTAAGAAAATATAGATTTGTTCAGCAAAAGTTCCAACTCAAAATGAGTGTTGAATGCCAAAGCATTCCGTTCACAACCAAGTCTAACGACTGTTCTTGCCCCATTCCATCATGTCCATGGTTCACATGATGCCGGTTCACGGAAATATGCACTTGTGGTTCTCGGCGAGTGGGGGGCGTCTACCCCAAATAGCGTTATCCATAAGACCGTCGGCTCGAATACGAGTTAATAGGTTGTAGTTCGATTCTCGGGGACTTAACATAAAAAGTTCATAACATAGAGTTCATATCACAAAGTTCATATCAAAAGTTCATTGCATAAAGTTCATAGCGCAAGTTCATAACACAAACTTCATATAAAAGTATCGTTCCAGGTTCAATAAGTTCATAAACAATATCGTTCCAAGTTCAATAAGTTCATAAAACAATAACGTTCCAAGTTCAATAAGTTCATAAAACAATATCGTTCCAAGTTCAATAAGTTCATAAAACAAGGCTCAACAAGTTCAAAACACAAAGTTTAGCAAGTTCATAAAACAGTACTGATAGTTCATAAGATAATAGTATGATTTCCACCACAAAACATAAAAACAATAAAAAGGAGGCTGTGAATACTCACAATGGAGAGTTCGCGGTTCGAGCTTCACGGTTCGGTGTTGTAGAGATCGATTCCTACTAGTGCGCTACGGAAAAAATAGTTTCTAGTGAGATACAATTCACTAAACCATTATCTAGGAATTACCTTTCCAACTAGTGATGTCGCAAAGTGCCCAAAGTTTGTTCGGTTCATTATTGGTAATACTGAATTCACGATGCCTTGTGTTCAAAAATTCATATAGGCATGAAAATGAACTCCAAAAATTGTAAAAATTTATATTTTGGTTCTGACAGAGGGTATTAGGGTCCATAAAGTTTAAAATTTTTTTTGAAGGTCACTTGTTATTTATTTGCGATTAGAGTCTAAATAATAGGAAAATTTCAAAATAAATAGATAACAGTTGCAAAAATTCCCAAATCAATTTTTTACAGGTTCTCAGAATGTTACCAAAGTTGGGAAAAATATTGGTTCAAGTCCTTGAGTCCTATGACCATGTTTTGTAAATTCATGCTCTAATTCAATGAAATATCTGAATAAAATAGAAAATAGTGACCAAATTGTATCAAAAGTTGTATGGAATCCTTATTTTGTTAATACTTCAGTTCTACAAGTTTTCAGATTTTTATCCCATTTATAAATGAATATTTTGAATTTATGGCCATTAAATTCTTATTTCTGTAGAAAAATAAGGATTTTGTTTAAGCACTTGGGTTTCACAGAGCACCTCTTAAAAACATGAGGTTTCGAAAAGAAAATTGGTTCATAATTAGTTTGGAGTTAAATGGGGGTATTCAACCCAACAAGTTTTGAAATGTAACACTAACTAGTGTACGAGTTCCAAATGTAGCTGGAAGTTCGAGAATTTTTGTAGAAACTCATATGGGGTTTTAATTCATGAAATTTTAGGCCTTCTGTGATGGATGTGTTAAGTTTCTAAAATATGTTTCCCCATATTTATTAAGTGGTATAAGACCTTTGATCATGTAATGCAAAACTAGTGGTCACAGAAAAAGTGTTGTTTGCGTAACTGTTTTGTAAAAATCGCCACACATCAAATTCTTAATGTTTTACAGAAAGGACACTTAGGTTCAAAAGGCAACTCATGGAAATAGTCCTCAGAAAAAAAAATATCGTTATTTGGTCGATAAATGAGTGAGTTATGACCTTTTAAATTCGTGTAAACAAATTTGACAGAATGTTGAAAAGTAAAATTCATGAAAACATAGCTCAAACCCCTATTTTATCTAATGATATCGGTTTCTTTTACTAAGATTGAGATAGAACAACATTATATTAAAGATATTCTATAGAAATACTTGTTTCTAACCATTTGATCTTACATGCAACCAAGCTAGATGAGACTAAACTTTTGAAAAATCGGTTTTTGGTGCTAGATAAGGCTTGCATGTGCTCACCTTTTCACTTGACTTTGGTTTGAACATGGATCATCACTATTTACAGAACATGCAACATGTTTTTTGGTGGTGATCTACAAACATAAAGATCAAAAAAAGGTTTGTGGCAAGAACATGAGTTCAAAATTGAAAATAGAATGAGAAAATGACTAAAACTTGTAGAAATTCATTATGGGTCTTCAAGAGATGTATGATAATCACTTACCCTTTATTGTGAATCTTCAAAAACACCTAAAAGAGAGTTGAAAGTTCATGGTTGAGGGGCTGATTTATAGAGAGAGAAATTAAGGTTTCTAGAGAGAAAGGAGAGGAAAAGTGGGATTTTGCCTCTCTGGATAGGTTACATCTTTCTTCGTCACTTTAGTCCTATGCTCCACCTCAATCGGCCACCAAAGTACAGGCATGTAGGTAAACATATGAAAAATGGAGTGACTAAATCTCTCATAGAGATTTTGAATCTAAATTCTTGTGACAACCCGAAATTTCTATCTTGTACAAACCATTCACTTCAATCAAAGTCAGACTTGTTTCTGCAAACTTTTAGCACTGTTTAGAGTCTGTTTGTTCATTCTGAGCCTAGTGCACCAAAGGAATGAGTGAAAGGAAGTGCCAATTCAAGTTGTAACCTACCAAACAAGCCATAAACCTTCAAATGAGGAGTTTACGGCCAGGGACCATGAGTTTACGGTCATGGTGGCCGTAAACTCCATACTATATATATGGTCCTTAGTCATTTTCAATCACTTTTCACATTTCAAGCCTAGAAATCGGATTTTTCTCTCAAGTATCTTAAGAACTTTCATCAAAATCTTCAATCTAGTAAGTAATCTTTCCAATATTTCAACTTGATATCCTTCCATATCTAGTGAATATACAGGATTTCATCCATGGAATCTCTTCTTTTGGTTAGATCATCAAGTGTTCTTCATTTCACCAAGAACACACTAGTGTTTTTGAACCTTAATCACCCTTTCAAGCTTCTATATCGTAAGTACTCTCTCCTAAGCTTGTTGTATACTTGTAATACTTGAAGAACACTTAGAAAACATCCATTTGACAAGAACAAAGGGAGTTTACGGCCAAGACCATCTCCTTTGGCCGTAAACCCTTAAAATGGTGCCATATTGACCCTAAACTCTTCTAGGAGCTAAACTTGTGAACTAGAATACTTCTTGAAAGACCATTAAACCTTGAAAGCATCTAGAATTCAAGAACAAAAGGTGTTTACGGCCAAGACAATCTCCCTTGGCCGTAAACCCTAATTTGTGGTGCATATGGACCATAACTTTTTCCTAAGGCTTAGACATGAGATTAGATCACTTCCTTCATGATTGTAAGACCTTATCACACAAAATAGTACAAAATACCATGAGTTTACGGTCGTAAACTCGTAGGGCCGTAAACCCAAGAGCCGTAAACGCATGGGGGTATTACCAATTGGGTCGTAAACTCCTATGTGAGGCCCTACATCCCTTATATGCAACCCTGTGTGGTTTAACACTTCATTACAAAGTGTTTCCTAGTCCCTAAGGTTGTTCCATTTCATAATTAGATGTTATAAACACTAATTATATCCATATATGTATCATTATATGTTAATAGGATCCGTTGTGTTCAAGACTTCACTTGACACTTAGCATCCTACACCAATCTTACATTTGAATAACTTACATCAGGTGAGTTCATACCCCCACATTTTCATAGTTTTTACTGTTTTAAGGGGGGGGGATACAAGTCTAACACAAAGATTTTGTGTTATAACAAATAATTTCAAATGGATTACAGTTATTAAAACAAATGGTTTCAAACATCTTATCGAAATGAATTTCAGTATCATCAAATCAAGTGGTTTTAAGTGATTGTTTCAAA